ACATAATTTTACTGCCCTGGTATGCGAAGGGATGTTCAAGCCTTCATTCGAGCTTGTGATATATGCCAAAGAAACAAGGTGGAAACAATTCAACCCACAGGCCCACTCCAGCCTTTGTCGATTCCCATCATAAATTGGTAGGATATAAGCATGGATTTCATTGAAGGGTTACCACCTTCAGGAGGGCATACAGTGATCATGGTGGTGATAGACAGATTGAGCAAATATGCTCACTTCATGTTTCTTTCACATCCATATACAACACTAATAGTAGCACGTGTTTTTCTGGACAATGTATTTAAATTGCATGGTTTTCCACTAACCATTATCAGTGATAGGGATCCAATCTTTACAAGCCAATTCTGGAGAGAACTGTTTCGAATCAGTGGCACAGAACTACTATTGAGTTCAGCATACCACCCCTAAACTGACGGCCAAACAAAGGTGATGAATAAAGGACTGGAGGGCTACTCACGATGTTTTTCAGGAGACAGACCACGTGATTGGGCACGATGGTTGACTATGGTTGAGTATGTTTATAACACATCTGAGCATACCTCAACTAGAATTTCCCCATATGAAGTGGTCTATGGGCAGTCGCCCCCAAGGATGTTGTCGTATGAGCCAGGCTCCACAAGGGTTCACGCTGTAGATGAGGAGCTCAAAAACAGAGAGCCTATCAATAAATTAGTCCAGGAAAACTTGAAGGAAGCATAAGCCAAGATGAAGTTATATACAGATCGAAAGCGGACTGACAAGGAGTTTCAAGTAGGAGATAGAGTTTACCTAAGGTTGCGTCCATACCGGCAAATGTCCTTCGTGATGAGGAGGAACCTCAAACTGTCGTTGAGATATTATGGGTCAGACACAGTGGTACAAAGAATAGGAAAAGTTGCATACAAACTAGATCTACCAGAAAACTCACAAATCTACCCTATTTTTCATGTATCTTGTTTAAAAAAGACAGTGGGAGAACACATGAGTCCACTTACCGAGCTGCCGAAGGTAACGACAAAGGGAACTCTAGAACCTGAGGTCGAGATGATTTTGAAAAAATGATGATTAAGAAGGGACAGAGAGCTGGAGTAGAGATGTTAGTACAGTGGAAAGGAATGGCTAGCGAAGATGCCACATGGGTGGATCGTGATGAGCTCAAACGGCGCTTTCCTACGCTTGAGGGCAACCTTTTCTGAAGTGGAGAGATATGTTACGGATTGGAAAGATACCCTAGTCTTTAGGGGGCTTGTTAGGAGCACGTGGGCTGGGTCAATGAAAATGGGGCCATTATTTATCTTTATTTGCTTTTATGTTCTTATTTATCTTTATGTGATAGAGTCTGGTATGTGTTAGTGGGTCACGATGGCTTAGTGGGTTAGTTTATTTGTACGTGGGTCAGTTCCTAATTTAGTGGGGTAATACGGTTGAGTCTGTTGGTCACCATTTGACCAAGTCTATCTATAAGTCACTATAAGTATTTCATCGCTTCATCAGTAATGAGATTATTCAGTTCATACAAATTTTGGTTACAAATTGGAGGACAACCCCTTGAAGTGCCTACACAAATTACACATTAATTTCCAGCAACTATAACTAGGGGTGAGCATGGGTAGCGGGTAGAACCGGAACCTGGGGGTAGAATCGAAACCAGACCCGAAACCGACACTGTGCAGGTAGGTTACGGTTCCAATTTTTTGGAACCGACACTATGCGGTTCTAATTCCGATTCTTGTGTGTAGAGGAACCGGAACCGGAACCTGAAAAAAGAACCTAAAAAGGGTACCCGGTTTGGAACTTGTAACGGGTACCCGATTTGGAACCTGTAATGGGTACCCGGTTTGGAACCGATTTTGAAACCTGTTTTGGAACCTGTTTGGAACCTGTTTTGGAACCTGGACTGTAATGAAATATTTGTGAAATGTGAATAATGGGGGGTTTATATTATTTTACATATAAAAAAATTTAAAATAGAAAAAATTAAATTTTTAGAATAACCTAATTAAATAAATATACTAATACAATTATAGTTATTACATATAAATTATACCATATTAAAAACTTTAATATATTATAATATATTAATATTAAAGTTTTCATTAATTAAGTGAATAATTGGAATTATGATCCAATTAAAAGTGTTTTAAATTTTTATTGTTATTAAAAGAACTATTTTTGAATAAAATAGTATATTTGATTGAATAATAATATATTTAGTTATTTACTTCAATTATCAAGTTCTACTTATATCTATTGTAAATTAGCAATTAATTAATTATATATGATAGATTGATAAAAATTAACAAATTTAATTACTAGTAAAATATCATACTTAATCAATTATAAGTTTATAATATTACATTATAGTTAAATGATTACTTAATTAATTATAATTTTATAACATTACTTAATTGATTTATAGTATAATTAATTATAGCATTACATTAATTGATTACTACTTAATTAATTGACTTATAAGTTATAACATTTAGTATATTACTTAATTAAATAATTAGAAATTTAATTAATTATAGCATTAAATTATAGATTTATAATATAATTACTTAATCAATTATAACATTTCATTATAAACATTAGTACAAACTTAATTAAATGATTAAAAATTTAATTAATTATAATATTACATTAAAAATTTATAGTATGATTACTTAATTCACTATAACATTACATTATAGTATGATTACATAATTAATTATAACATTACTGTATTAGTGCATTATATAATTAAATGGTTACTTAATTGGTTATGACATTATATTATAAATACTAGTAATTATCAATTTACTACATAAACATTAGCAATTTAGCATAATACTTAATTAAATTATTATAAATTTAATTAATTACAACATTGCATTATAAATTTATAGTACGATTACGTAATTAATTGTAACATTACATTATAATTAAATGATTACTTAATTAATTATGACATTATATTATAAACATTAAACATAAGTAATTAATTAAATTATTAGAAATTTAATTGATTATAACATTACATTATTGTTAAATAACTACTTAAATAATTATAAATATTTATCACATTACATTATAGTATGATCACTTAATTAATTATAACATTGCATTATAATTTAATAATTATAATGTAATGTTTAAATGATTTTGGTGAAGTTATTTAATGTGAATTGTGATGAATAATTGTTTGTGTTTTAGTTTTGATTGACGAATTTTATGTGAATTGTGATGAATAGATTGAATTCAAGTGTTTCCTAGAGATTACAAGTTATGAGTTACATTGGACACAAATGAATGAATAATCAAAATTTGTTAGGGGTGTATTTGTAAAATTTTAAAGTATTTTTATCATTTTTTAAACTAATAGGGGGGTAATTGATTTTTTATAGGATACCCGGGAAAGGAACCGGAAACTGTATTTTAGGTTCTGGTTCCTTGAATTGAAGAACCTGCACTATGCAGTTCTGATTTCGATTCCTTTTCTTGAGAACCTGCACTGTGCGATTTCGGTTCTGATTTTCTCAAAAAGTGTAAGATACCCAGAAGCGCTCACCCCTATCTATAACACAAATTTCCGAAGTTACCTTGCTTGAGCTGTAAGAGGAAGGGCATCATTTCATTTCTAGGCCCTATGCCCCATTGCTCGAGGCAAGTTTCAAAAGAATACTGATTTTAGCCTTAGGTACCTTGCATTGCTCGAGGCAAGTTTAAAAAGAAGAATAATACTTTGGGTACTAATGGATGAGTACTAATCTGTGTACTAACTAAAGCATAGTACGGGTACTATATACATAGTATGGGTACTATACTTTAATTAGTACACAGATTAGTATCCATCTGTTACCCATAGCATCACTCTAAAAAGAATACTGATTTTAGCCTTAGGTACCTTGCCTGAGCCGTAAGAGGAAGGGTATCATTTCTTTCTCTTTCTTTTTTCTGTTTTAAAAGTAAAGTTTAATTTTTTTTAATTAAATTTCTTTTTGTCTTTTCTGGAATTTTTGTGGTGGTGGTTTACTTGTCATCCTTTACCTGATTTTAGTACAATAATTGTTTTGACCTTTTTCTATTGCAACACAATAGTAAACTTGTTGTTACACTTTTCTTTGGTTTTAAAAACCACATATTATTAGTTGAGTTATTCACTTAAAACTTTATATTAATTTTATAGAACAAACTATTTTTTCTCTTCAAAACTTATTTCTCAAAATGTAATATGAAAATGATACCAAACGAATTCCCAAGAAGAAGACAAATTTTCACCAATGGACAAAAAATATATATTGATTTTGGACTTAATATAAGGGGTTGGATGATGAAACATAAAATCATGGATGACTTCATGGATGCTGCAAAATATCTTGTTGCAATAATAATGCTAAGTCCACAATTCAATCTTATAACCTTCTCTCACAACCTCCAATATGGTAATTCGTAATTGATCATATTGACAGACCCATAGCAAGTAGACGGGACCTATTTTTGAACTGACCAATTATGAGCCGTTACGTGAGAGTTGTAAGAGAAGGTTGTAAGATTGAATTGTCATCCTAACATTTTTCTTATTGCAGAAGCTATGAATAAAATCACATGACTTGCATAAATTTACAAATATTATCTATCTCCATGTGTATCCAACGTAAGAAGAATCTATTTACTGAACAGAAATCTCATTCAAATCAAAGCAAAAACAAACACCGAATATCAATAGAACTTGAAATGCAAATGCAATAACAAAAACAATAGTCGGTGAGCTTGTTATAAATTTACTTTAAGAAGATTGTGATGACAAAATAAGGTGACAGTTCTTTTTCACATATCAATTCGCTTTATACATAAAAAGAAATTCCCCATTACTGGTGTCAAATAAGTACACGCATACCCAGTTAAGCTCTTTGAACTCTGAAATGAAAAAAACAATATTTCTCTTAAATTAAGCAGCTCGTATCTGTGTTTTCTTCTTCTTCTTCTTCTTCTCCCATTTTGTTGCTCTAAAAATTGCAGAGATGGGAAGAGCTGGAGCTCTTATTTGTCTAATAATAGTTGCAGTTGATGTTGTTGCTGGTACTTTTGGGATCAAAGCGGAAATAAATTCAAAAAAGGTACCCATTCTTTAAGTATGATTAGTATGTCGAGAACATGAACTTAATATAATCACACGCGGTTTTAAGTTCTTCATTAACCATTCTGGTTTAATTTAATGAACAGGTAACACATATGAGGCTGAGGAGTTCTTCAAATTATGGGTGTAAAGAGCGGAGCCATGAAGCGTTTAAACTGGGATTAGTTGCGGCAACGCTGCAAGCTATCTCTCACATTGCTGCTAATTTGCTGGGTGGATGCATGTGCATTTGCTGCACGGAGGAGCTTGAAAGATCGGCTTCCAACAGGCAGTTATGGTTCGCTTGTCTCATCCTCTCGTGGTAGGTGTGTTGTGCATTATAGTCAAATTTAGATAAACTTTTACTCTATTAATTAATAATACAAGTTCACTTTAATTTAACATACTTTGTATTAATTGAATTGCGTTGAACACATTTAGTTAAGTGATGACTTGTTTCAAGAAATTGACAAACAAAAAAAAGGTCAAAATTAGAAGACTTGGGCTTGACGCTTTGTCAATCAACTTTTTTGAATGTTGCATAAATTGAGAAAAGGGATTCATCATTACCAAATCTTGTACTTAAGATTGGGAGATGAAAGTCTACCATTAATTTAATTATAATCTTGTTGGACTGGACTGGGCTTCGAGCCTGTTAAATTGGTTTGAGTCCATGGATCGTTTCGATGTGGATAATTGAAAAAGTCAAATAAGGTCCAATAGATTTGGGCTGAAGACTGACCCGAAATGACCCAATATGTCTAATTTCCATAATGTACATGAAACATGTTAATTTGTTTAGCCCATAGTTCATCTTCTAATGCAATCAACAATAAACCATTATTGTATAATTATGATATTGATGGAATAAAGTTATCAGCTCTGGAAATTTGGTGGATTGATATGTATAGTATCAGATTTAATAAAATCATGTTAAGAAATGTGTTATCTTAATATTTCAGGATTGTGGTAGCTATCGGATTCCCTATGTTGATCATAGGGATGTTAGAGAACTCAAAATCAGAAGGATCATGTGGGATAATCCATAGCCATTTTTTGTTGACTGGTGGGTTATTATGCTTTGTTCATGGATTCTTCTGCATTGCACTCTATGTTTCTGCAGCTGTCAGCTTTGGACATGAAAGCAGTAATATTCATCCTTGATATCTTCCAAAGATGTTGCAATTTCAGTCTTCAACACAATCATCACCGTTAGTTTTGTAGAATTGGGTTGGAATTTCAGCCATGAGTAAGTCCAAAATCTTGAAGGAAAATAAAAAATTGCAAGTTCCATAGTCATTACCATTTCAATTTGATATTAGCTTTTTGTAGCATTAAGTATATTAGATTTTGTATAATTATTTACAACCATAGATAATTTAGGGAAAAAAAAGTTTCCAGTTTAATGCAATTAAGTAAGAATAATAAGTAAAATCTCATAATTTTTTATTCCAAATAATGAAAATAAAAAGTTGATTTATAATTCGAGTCCACTTGATGCTAAAAGAGAAAAATTTGTTAGGGGTGTATTTGTAAACTTATAAGGTGTTTTTGTTATTTTTTAAACTAATAGGGGGGTAATTGATTTTTTATAGGGTACCCTGGAAAGGAACCGGAACCTGCATTTTAGGTTCCGGTTCCTTGAATTGAAGAACCTGTACTGTGCGGTTCCGGTTCTGGTTCCTTTTTTTGGGAACCTGTACTGTGCGGTTCCGGTTCCGGTTCCCCGGAAAAGTGCAGGGTACCCGGAACCGCTCACCCCTAGCTAGAAGGTGTACAGCTATTGGGTTTTTTAGTCTGAAATTGTTAGGGTTCTTGTGTGTTGAAGGAGCAATTGATTTGGGGCTTTTTGCTGGGGTCTTTCTCATTGTAATCTGGGCAGATTTGTGAGAGGGTTGCGTTTCCTTCTTGAGGCTAGGATAGGTCTCTGATTTCTTGCAGGTTATAGAGAGTTATTGAGTGATTAGGCTTGGGTTAAAGCATTGCTCTGTTTCGGTAGATTGAGTGTGTAATTCTTGGTGTTTGATTTCTTTGAATCTTGTTTGTGTTGGATTGATTTATGTGTTGATTAGTTTAGACTCAGGTTTTAACACTAAGTTAATTTTTTTAAGCACTTCAACTTTTCTATGGTTCAAAAAAGTCATTGGTAGATTTTGAGAATACAATTGAAGTACGTAAAACCCTCTGTTTTGTACTTTTCTCAACTTTTCTATGGTTTTCGTATTACTCTCTGTTTTGTTCACAAACCACATAGTTGTCTTTCTTGAAAGCTTCTTGTAGGTATATCTCTCTGTGACAATGGATTATATGGTATTTGTTTGTCTTTCTTCTCTTTTGGTGAGTCTTCCTTTTTATGTGCTGCTGAAACTTTAATTATTCATCTTGGATTCTGAATTGAAATCTCTGTGATTCCATTGCCATGTTCTATTCTTGATTTTATTTTCTATTAATTTTGGGACAATTTGCGTAGATGGTGGTGATGGTTATGATGATGATGATGGTGATGATGGTGATGAATTTTGAGGCTAGTGTGTGAAGATCAATCAACATAGAGACGGATCAAAGAAAAAACACTTGCATTAAATGTTTTGTTATTAATTATTATGTATTTTGTCATTTGATATGTAAATACAACATCATGTTTGGATTTGGACTTTGAATTGTTGTTAAATACTTAAATTATGTTAGGATTGTTGTTGAATTTGAACTTTGAATTATGTTGGACAGTAATTAAGTTGTTATTGTCTTATTGAAAAATAAAAATCTAAAAAAAAAATTGTTTTTTTTAAAATGTGCTAACGTCATCATGATGTGTGATGATGTCACGGGTCCAATCAGCGGTCCAACCGGTTGAACCGTGACCCGACCATCAAAGTGGTTTGCCCTCTGATCCGGTTTTTAAAACAATGGTGGAAAGAAATTAAAAAGTCTTCCAACTATCGAATAATTAATTAATTAAAAGAATATTAAGAAAGTGTATTTGAAAACACTTTTGGATTATTTAAAAGTAATTTATAACTCTAATTAATTATGACAAATTTTTACTGGATAGATATATAACCCTAGTTAGTAAAAACGCGTATTATACACGAATTGTATGGATAGCCGTATAATTCACGTATAAAACGCGTATATACGTATTTTATAAAATCTGTTGTATAATTCGCGTATAATAAGGGTTCCCGTATAATTCGCGAATTATTCAAGAATTTTTGAAAAAAAAACAAAATCTCACACCCCCAAAACGATGTCGTTTTGGTGGGTTTATACAATAAATTAAAACATATCTGGTTCAGTCATTCTTCTTCAGTTCTTCGGCGGTCAACAGCAGTTCTTCTTCCTCAGTTCGGTTCTTCTTCTTCCTCAGTTCTTCTTCAGCTTTTCTTTCTTAGTTCTTCTACAAATAAGAACTGGGAAAAAAATGTGGAAAAAAAGTTTCTAATATTTGTGTATGAGCATAAGCCCAGATTTCTTCTAGCCATATACATTCATCCTACAGAAATCCCAGCCCATCTCCATTCAAATCATCAGCTCCCATCATTGGAATGTGGAAACAGTTGATATTACGCCAACGGGTGGGCAAACAACGGTCTGGAATGTGGAAACAGTTGTTCGCTGATAGAACATGAAGAACATGTCTACAAAGGATTCCAGAAAACTCAAACAAATGGCAGCTGCAGCTAATGAAGTCATCATGTGGGATCCAGACTACTTTGCACCCTCCATCAACGTCTGTATGATGTCTCACAATAAAATAAGTCTGATCCACCATAAGTGATGCATATTGTGGAGCCAAAACAAGCTCTTCTTGTAGTTTGCTAAAGGCATATGGTGTAAGAACAGCAGCAGCATGTGATTCCATTGGAGATCCTGTTTTTAGGGAGATTTTCTTCCTGGAACCTCCGTTGCAACTTTTGTTTTCCTCCCACTTCATCTTTAAATTCAACAATAGCACCACTTGCACAAAGGAGGTCACATAATGAACAAAATCACACAAATCAAGAACATAAGAGAAACAAGCTAGGTTACCGACCTGCTCTACAAAGTAATAGTCCTAGGATCAAAAAAAGAAAAAGATTTGAAAGTTGCGAAACTTTCTCAAGAACCAAACAGAAATTTCAGAAAAGAAAAGAGAGAGAGAGAAAATGTTGAATCTTTCCAAGACTAAAACTTATTTTTTATTTGCTTAACTTTTTCAACTGAATATTAAATCTCTTTTATACAACATCAGCCACGTTGGCCATCCTTTACAAAATAACACTCCACCGTTGATCATTCTTCTAGCATCTCCACCTTTGATCTTGTAAAACTCCAGCTGCCTTGTAATCTCTAACATCCTCCCTCAAGCCAAGCAGTAAAACTTTGTAGCTGCCTATGAAAAATTTTCAATACCTTGTTAAGTTCATATCTATATTATATTTTTATATAATCTATGTAATGTGAAGTGTTGATGCCAATTTTAGTGTGTTTATATATTGTGTATTTGTGTTATTGGTTAATTGAATACTTGGCATTTGAAATTTATGTTGATTTTAATCAGGTAGTCCATAAAAGTGTTAAAACTAAGATTGATATTGCCGTATTTTCAAAACGTATTATTGACAATGCACCGTATTAAACCCGTATATACATACCGTATTTTTTCCGTATCCGAATTTTATAGCCGAAATTTTTATAAACATATTTTTTATACCGTTTACCGTATTATACCCGTATAATTCCCGTACCGTTTTTTGCCGTACCAGTATTTATTAACTAGGTATATAACAAAGAAGATGGTAAACCCAACTCACATAAAATTTTTCCTCCTTTTATACCCTTAAATTTAATTGCATATAAGCCGTACCAAACCAAACCTAAACAAATGGAGCAAAAATTTATGCTAAAAAAAACAGAATTCTACATTGTCCCAATTCCCTTTTACTATTTTACTCAACATTAACCTAATTTAATATACTTATTACATTAATTAGTTTGAAAAGATGCCCATAATAGTGGATTAATTAGTGATCCTCTTTTAATTAAAATTTAAAAAAACGCACAAAGTCTAAAGTTTACCTTTAAAAAATTGGGTAAATTAGATAAGGAAAGCGATAAAGATGTTTTAAATTGTAATATTTTTTTGGAAAAGAAACATTTATGATATTAACAAATGGGTCCATGACTTTTGCTTAATTTTCTAAATTAAATCAAATGATTTTATTTTAATTGAATGAGATTGATGGACCGTGGATCCACGATGTTGACGCAGAGAAATTTTAGTCAATAATAAACATTTAGGGTATTGGGGTAGCTCAAAGTTTCTAGAAAGTTCTTATCCCACATGGGAAGATTTGTCAGAAGCTACTTTTGGAAAAAAAATATATATATATATATATATATATAATACACATTGAAGAGTAATTAATTTATATATATATTTTTTCATTAAAGAAGAGTTTTGAATTATTTTCCACGTATTGTATTTATAATTTATCTTGATTTATTACTCCAAATTTTATAATTCATAATTACAATCATCATCCTTTAGATAGATGTAAGTTTAAAACAAGAATGATCAGGTTTTGCAAATTCTCCAACAAGGCCATTGGATGATCCCTGAGAATTGAACCTGATAATTTTAAACATTCAAGATTTGGTAAGAGTTCCTCCATGTTTCTTGGTAGTTTCTCTATCTTCCCACATAATCTCAAATCTACAAGGCATGTGCAATGACCAATTGCCTGCAATGAAGTAAAAGATTGATAAGACATCAACGTAACTGATAAAATTTGAAGGCTTTTCAGTTACGCGCCCACCTAATAAATGAAACGACAAAAAAGGAGAGGTTATGTTATGTAATGTCCCCAATGTTCACTACATCCTAGTGATGATGAGATCTAAAATTCTTTAAAGTTTGTCCTAATAATGTTAATTGATGTATATATATTTGTAGAGCTGGGCATTTGGGACCGGGCCTAAAAGCCTAGCTCCAAAACTCAGTCCTAGGACTGATCCTTGAGAGGATCGAACTTAGGAGGCTTGGTCCCAAAACGGGATCAGGCTTAAGGAGGAAGGCTCGGGCCCTCTACTGGGCCCTCCTCCAAGGCTCGGGCTCGGGATCAAATTTTTTTGTATTTTTTTAATATAGTCCCCTGTCAAATTATATAAAATTCTCTGTTAATTTTAAAATAAATATAAATTACGAGGGTTAAATTAAAATTTTACAAAAAAAAAAAAAAAATCTTCCAAGTCTAAAAAATTTATAAAATTTATAAATTTCACCCTAAAAAATACTAAAAACCCCCTATAAAATTTTGTTTTGCCCCCAAAATATAAAAAAAAATGAGGGGGGAAAATAAAATTATTCAAGGCCCATGGGACCGGTCCTGGGCCGATGGGACCAAGCCTGGTCTGAGTCCTGGTTTTTCTCATGGGCCTGGGGCCGGTCCTAGGCCCATGAGTGACTGGTCCCATTTGGGACCAGTCTCAAACGGGCCCAGGCCGGGGCCCGCAAGGGACCGGTCCTTGCCCACCTCTATATATATGTGAACGAAAATATTCACAAAGATATCTTATTCACTATTTAGGACCTCAAATTCAATTTCAGTTTTGTTGCTCTTATGCCTTTAAAAAAATTATTTTCGTAGAAAGTAGAGTTAGAGTAAGGTTTAAGTTATGATACAATTCATGCCATATTTCTTAACTAATAGACTTTAGTTTTAATACATTTTGTGATATTTAGAGTATTCAAAGCTTATGCATAATTTCAGCTCAACAAGTTAGGTTGCTTGCTTTCAGTAGTCACCTAATTAACAAAGCAAACATGATTACAAATTTCACTAGAAACAAATGAAAAGTACATGCATTTGCTAAAACTAGACAAGGGTGAGTTTGGAAAGCCCAGGTTTAAGGCTCTAAATATTTGAAAATATCAATTTAATTTATTGAGTGAATACCTAGAATTATTCTTTGATAATGAAACCATGAAATCTCATGCAGTTTTACTCTCAATCTCAATCAACATTCAACATATGTGCAAAGAACAAGGGAAGTGAAGAATACTAAAATTTAATTAATATGGTTTCAAATTTTCAATCTCCAATATGAATTCTCACACGGTCATTTTTATTTCCATCCAACAACCTCTGTACTAAATATATATTTAATAAAATATATAAACTCAAACTGGAGTACTGGGACCACCCTCCTTCAAGGCTAACCTAACCAAACCCATTTTTTTTCCAATACTAATTTTAAAATTCGTCTTTTTCCTCAATTTGTCATTTTATGAGGTTGTCCAGTCCTAACTCCTAAATCTCTCCAGTACACGGCAAGTCTCTGGCCTCCATATTGTTTTGTATGTTAGTGTAAAAAGTAAATCAAAATTCTAGTTTGCATGAGGATAAAGCGCGTATAATTTCTTTTTGTTAAAGATGTATAATCAAATTCTACACGGCTATGTCAGGAATATTTCCCAACCTTATTACCTAATTTGAGCTGAAATTATTCATAAGTTTTGAATACCCACTAAACGTATTAAA